TACTGCCACCTGAGTCAATATTAGAATGAACTGTGTTGGATTTGGCATCCATTTATATAGGGTGAGGCCCGTCAAATTTGCAGCCGGAAGACTCGAAGATGATTTTGAGACTTAAATGATCTTTGTGTATCTGAAGACTTTTATGTCTATATGCATGAAGAACTTTTATGTTTGAAGATTGGTATCCCTAACATTGATGCGTACTACTACCTGAACAGTTTCTAGTACTCTGAACTGCGTATAACCGCGAGATGATTTGGAACATGTTAGTGGTTTTAAAAAAGTTTAAAGTGAGTAATTTCGACAGTATATTATCATTAATCTTTGCTGATTCGTCGCAGCTCTTGGTTTGAGTCTTCTGCGATTGCTTTTGATATTTGTGCCAGTTCAATTAAGTGGTCATTTACCTGAAAATGTAACATCATTATAAGGGCTATCGGTTGCTGAATAATCTGATGTTTTGTGGAGATAAGAATTTCATTTTTGGTGCTTTTTATGGCGTGGTTTTAACATGGAGAGAAGACTCAAAGTAGTATCTGACTTACATTCAGTCTTACTTGACATAGTCAGTCGCTGTTTTCTATCTGCTAATCGACTGATATTTCTTAAAATTGAGATTCATTTTATAAACACTTTCGGTATATCGAATGAAATTTTGTTAAGAAAATTGCATTTAAATGACTATTGTAATGATCATATTTTATAGATTCTGTTTTTGTCATAGCATTACAAAACAAAACAAGCAAAAATTTATCGAAAACTACTAGTAGAAACATGTATTTGGTTTTTTTTATCCAAATAATCGTTAAAATTTCCCAATTTACGGACAAGATATGAACGACGGAGTGATTTAATCTGCAAAACAGGAGTGATTTCATTTAACACTGAAGTTTTATATCCTTAACACATAATAAAACTGAAATTCAGTGCACATATTAGTAAGTATCGTCGTATAATAAGGCCTGCAGCTGATCATAAGTACATTTTTGCTTATTGTAAGTCACTGTTGAGACTCTCGAGATACAACAATGCATTTTAATAATTATTTTATTAATTTAAAAGTTGATCGAATACCGTTTGTTAGAGATGTAGATACCTTTGATACTTTTAAAGAAATGAATCGATGCTTGTATATTTGTTGCATTGTTAAAGACTATATTGGTGTACAAAGAAGGCGTCAAATAATTTGATAGAAAAAAATATAATTCATTTGGCTAATAGCAACCCTCTCATCTTGTCGAATATCCAGCCACAATGGTAAAGAGTTTTACATTAGAATACACCATAATGAAACGAGGAGTTATCAAAATATCATTTTAAATTGACTCAAAATAAATTTTTTGCTTCTCTGATTATTAATAAAGAATCATGTTTAAAAAGTTTTCTTACTGACAGTCACATTAAATTAGAAGTTAAAAAGCAATTTATTTGATCATGAAAAATTTTTTATTCTCTTCATTTTATTATCAAATGAAAGAAAACAGGTAACATGTCAAATCTATCCAAACATAAATAAAATTGCTTAAAGTTGAGGGTGATGATTGTAAAACAAAATTATGTTATCTTAAATGTAAGAAGAGTTTCCAAACACTTTTCATGTTCTTTCTATTCGTGAATACAGTTTTATTACACTAAATTTATTCTCACTTTTATTAAGCGCAGAAACAGTTTAAAATATTAATTGGTTTTAATTCAAAATAGAATAAATTACATTTGCCTACAGGATGATGTTATTTTATTTTAAATCAACATATAATAAACACGTTGGATTTATTCAATGTAACATATTTGTAGCTAAATTAAACAAATCTTTAAAATTCAATCCATTTTTTTAGAATAAATCTATTCAAATATCTTATTGTGAGAGCATAAAATGAATATAATTATTTTTAAAGTTTGAAAGAAAAGAATTAATTTGTTATGTTCCTTTTATTTTTATTCCATTTGGAAGAGAAAGTCAAACCTATATAAAAGTATCATTTAATTATTTTAATTAAATAAAAGCACAAAACATATTATGCGAAATTTACTTGATCTTATTTGAAAATAAAAAGAAATGATTAGAATTGACTTACACAATTTTATTTCATTCTGCGTTATAATAAAAGAAAATGTCGAATTATATAAAAATTAATTGATATGTGAAAATAGTAGATGAAAAAATTCACTACAGTCAATTTCACTTTCAGATATTTGAAAAGAAAATTCATAACAAATTTGAATTTTTGTGTGGAAACATAAGTCGTAGTTATTATTAAAAAAAATAGAAGATGCATCCTTATTCCACCAAACTCTAAAAGAAAACTATAATGGCATTCGTCACTTTTTAACTTTGAATCGTTTTTTTCAGCTATTATCTGATTATAGGCCCTTCTCATTGGAGAGTTGCTCGTCGTTCATGTAAAATACCGTTAGAACATGCAATACAGATTTCGCATATGCATGTGATACACACTAAATCATTTCGCTCGCTTAATATTTGACATCACGAGCACTTTTGTTGCTTAGTCTGAAATCGATGATGCACTGAGTGAGATTCATTAATGCACTTCGATAATTATGCTGTTGGTTGATTCGTACCGACCAACTACAGCCTTGACAAAGATTTTTTTAGTTCATATAAGTCTTGACCATTTTAAAGAGGAGGATTTATTAGTGTATTTGTTTATCGTCTTTTTTTTATCTGACAGTGAACTTATTTACGAATATCGCAACGTCATTTTTTTAATTAAAAAAGGCACTTGATTTCGCTTTCTTTGCTTCATCTCAATAATTCTGCGGATATAATCGACTATGACACTAATGAATCAAGCAATAAAATAAACCCTGATAAACGATGAAACTTAAAAAAGTAATCTGCATTAAAACAAATTAAGTTTGAATATTTTTATTGTAAATAAATAATCCCATTGTTTCAAGTATTTTCAATTGAACTGTATGAAACAATAAAATTGAACTAACTTCGTTTTGTTCAGAATTAAATCTTTTTCTTTCAATCTAAAATCAGTTAGAGTAAATGAAATGAAAATTGCATTGCAATATGATAGTAAATGCAATTATTGTATAAAAATCAACTTTATTAAGTATTATTTTAAAATAAAGGAACTAGTTAAAATAAACCACTTTATTCGCATTTCATAAATAAACAAATCTATAAAACGAATTCAATGTACGTTTCCTTTAGGTACAACAAAGATAATCAAATGTAAATGAACTTTAGTTTTCATCGAAATACACTGAAGAGTTCTAGTCTGTAAATTATTTATTTCATTCGACTTTAAAATAAAGTAAAATAACTTGATTAACGTCAGTTATTTAGGTTATGCAAAATTTAACTAAAATTAGGTTATGTATGATTATCTTTGCTTCATTTTATTTAGAAATGAATGAATTGAATGAATGTTTTAAGAATAAGATACAATGAATAACATTACTAAACTACTCTTTTTAATTTTAATTATAAAAGAATAAATCTAGTATATTGATTCTGTTTCACGTATAATGTATAGCATAGTTGGGTAAAAGACGAACTGATATGAGTTGAATTTAGAACAAACTCAATATTGCAACTGAAGAATGTTTTAAACTTCACTTAAAAGAAAATAAAACAAGAACGTTTGAACTCCGTCTGGGATGATACAACTATATATAAAGTCAAAAATTGTAATTTTTCCTACAAGTCGGTTCGCTAAACCTATATTAGATCGAAAAGAAGAATGTCAAAAGCTAAGATGAGGATACTAATGAAAACGTAGTTATGAGGGTAACAAAGTCGAAGATTTTCACTTTGATAATCTGTTTTTTTACGTTCAACCGAATTCTAGATAATCATGAATTGTACTATAGTAATCATTGTTAGGGACAGAAAATCGAATAAACATTATCAATTCTATTAGATTTTAAAATGTATACATAGCTTTGCTATATCACATTTATTTCATTCTCATTTTTAATGCAAAACTCATCTTTTTCAGCAGTTAAATTCTTCATAAAAAGACTTATCACAAAAAATTAATTTTTTTTTTTTGGAAGAAAAGGAAAAATTAAATCAGTTTAAGAAGATTGACTTCTTCATATGCATTATAATCAATAGCAGAATTCGGAACGATATCATATGCATAAAAAACAGTTTAAAATAGAATATATGAACTTTAAAAAAGAAATCAAAATAAAACTGACTATATTTCAAGATAATTGAAAAGAGATCAACTATGATTTTTGATCTGCTTATGTAAAGCTTAAAAAGAATAATTTTTCGAGAAAAATGCGAGGTGCATACTTAATTAAAAGATATTATAAAATCAGTCTAATGACTTTCCTTATCATTATTTAGTCTTATGCAACCATAACTTAATTATCAACGTTCTAGTTGAAGATTTGTTCATAGTACATGTGACTTATGCTTAGACATTCAGCATATGTTTCGTATGTGTATCACATACGGCATAAAAGAACGAATAATTCTATCGCACGCATATACATGCTATACTATTATTTCACATACCAATATTGATTTATCTTACGTATAACTTCGCATCTTTTTCGTGGCCTGTTGTACAACTTGACCATAAGTCACTTATGCAATGACGATAAACAAACTGTTTATTTTTTCTGTATACTGTTTTCTGATTGAAGAAATCGATATAATTATTTATCATTCTATTTCGATCACTGCTTCATTTCTTTATTGCTTGTAATCGAAGGTATAAACGTATCATAGTGCTTTATGATATTTTCTATTTCAAAAGCAGAGAAAATTTTCATTCAATGCTAATTTGAAGTTACTATATTCTATTTTAATGCTTTCTAGATTCTTTATTCTTTATCGTTATTGTTTTTCTTTGGTCATGCATGTTAAAAGACCTTGTCGAAAGAAACTTAATTTTGATAATGAGAACGAAAATTCAAATGGCAATAATGGTAACTATTACATCTGAGTGTAATATAAATGTAACTGTGGATTGATTCTAGGTGGTAAACAACTAAATTTACAATTTTCGATGGAAAATTCAACAAGTTCACAAATCAACAATAGCTCTGATAATAATTTGATCAATCATAATGAATATTTACCAACAAATGAAGAATTTGAAACACTATTATCGTTATACTCGGTCGTCAATGAAAACGAAAATATCGATATATTACTTGACGTAAATTCAAGCGTGACAGGTGATCCTTTATATATGTCTATATTTCGATCATTTAAAAATTATATTTTGCTTCTAGATTTATCGTTATGTGATAGTCAAGGTCAAAAACGACCTTTTGAAGATAGTCTGAATAAAATTGTACATAATAAACGTTCTGATTCATCCAATGATGCTATTGTTGATGATATTTTGATTTTAAAACAAAAATATATTGAACTTGAATCTAAAATTAAAAAATTAGAAGAACATTGGATGTGTATGTAATTTGTTTTTATTCAAGTTTTTGTATATTTTAGAATGCATACTACCATGTTTAGAAATGAATACTCTCTAAAACATTAATTGATAATCGATTGAGTTTTAGTTTTAAAATAATTTACTGGTGTTAAAAAATCATTGCTTTTTATTTCAATGTTTCTCGACATCCTTTTTCATTGTTGTAACAAGCATAAGAAAGCCTTTGCGATAAAAGTAGAACTTTTTGTTGTATAATAAGAATTTTTCATATTGTAAGAGAGCAAAAAAGATTTGCTTTCTAAGAAGCTTGATACTATTTATTTAAATATATAAGCTGTCATTTAATCGTTCCCTTAATTTAGCATCATCAACAAATTCAGCTATGGATCCGAATTTCGTTGAAATATCAAATGTTTCACATGATGATCAAGAAAATATGAATGTTGATAAAGGGACATCTATGAATGACATATTACTTATACTAAAGATGGATGCAAATAAACTTACGAAATGTAATAAAAAGACAGCAACCGCTACGGCGCGATCTGTAATCAAATGTATGTATCCTAGTTGTGATTCCAATTTTCGATATAGTGATGTCGATAAGTCCATTATTGATTGCATCATTGGTAAGTCAAGTGCTTTTTTTTCTAATTGAACAATGTTTTTATTCAATAGAATATACAAAGTTTTCTAATCCGAATGATAAAGCTTCTGATACAGAACGTCGTCGAGCCGTTAGCAATTACTTTGGATATTTAACTTATCAAAGAAAACTCAAAGCAATGATGGTTTCGAATCAAATTGTTTTAGAACCAAAGAATGACAATAATAATACCATATCTGCAAGCTGAAAAAGAAAAATTGAATTTTTTTTCTTTAAATCATCTATGAAAAGACGTTTTTCTTGGTTTACTTTTATTTAACTTAAGAATTCTTTCGTTTTGATTTTAGAATGATTATCCTAGAATTCTTTCACCTTTTTTCAATTGTAACAAAAATGTTTCCACCGTTTTTCTTATTCACATGCATCGCTTTTTCGGTATTTACTAGGTATATCATATTTCACACTTCGTTTATTTTGTTGTTGAAAAATTTTATCTACATTTAGCTTATCATTGTCTCTAGTCTCGTATTTTGTTCTTCTATTTCTTTTTTATTTTTATTTTTAATTAAAGTGTTAAACACTTTGGATATAAACAAAAAAGATCTAGCTAAACATAATACAAAATCAGCCACAGCTACGGCAAGATCTTTAATTAGGTTCAAATATCCAAATCCTAATCCAGATATTGGATTTTAGCGCAGCTAGTTTCAAGGGATCTGAAGGTCAAAAATATCTTTTCAGAACTTTCAAAAAGGTCTCCGAACGTTTCTTTCTATCTTAATAATTTTGAAAAAATTATGATATTTGTAATCAGCACGCTTAAATTAATCGAAGTAAGAATACAACTGGTAGGACAGCAGTAAAAACTAGTTTTCGATATTTGGGAGAGAACACGCATATGAAAATTTGAACTGCAATAATGTATAAAATACATTGGTGGAAAGTAATCAGGATTCAATACTGCCTTTCAGGCATGCAATAATAGGATAAGTTTTCTGATGCATATGATCCGCACTTGGATATAACTTCCTTCTTCTAATTTCGAAAGATTTGAAAAACATTATTTGGAATCCGAGGTCTATTAGAGTCGAATTCATAGAACTGTTGCTACATTTAAAAAGAGTAGGTCGTCGACGACAACGGCCGTTTACGACAAAATATGTCAAGAAACGATGAACGTTGATTTAACCGTTTACCACTGACGTATACGATGACTTACGACTTTGTTCGATAGTCGTTTACAGTCGTCGTATTTTTACGGGAGTCGTAAACACTGTGAGTTTACGTTAGTCATTTACGATGGCCGTAATAGACCGTAATGCATCGTTTACGATGGTTATAAACAGCTATCGTACACGGCTGCCGTTTTCCACCGTATTTGACTGTATATGGTCGTTTACGGCCGGGCATCATTCACCTGGGATCACAAGAGGAAAAAAATGACTCATCCGATTTAGAAACAAACACTCACAATATGTCCACTGTTATTTATAAATATTAAAACACTGTGATAACTGATATTTTTTTTATTTGTTATTTCATTTATTATTATCAGAATAAGTTTCTGTTTATCAATTAAGTCATTTTTATCTGTTTTAGATTTTTAATCTTCTTTTACAACTGTTTTTCTTCACTAATGTCTACACATACACGAGATTATGAAAATAAATCACAACGAATTGCTTCTTTAACAACTACCAATAACAATGATATGTACGCTGTGTTGCGAGATGAAAAAAATAATATTCTTCATATTGTACCACGTACTGAGATTATTTCAGCGAAGAAGTCTGGGAAGGTAGATGTTGGAGATACTGCTTCACATGGTGTACGTGATAAACGTATCCGAGGCACAATAGTGTTGCTCGGTAAGATTTCTTTCATTTTGAATTCAATGAATATCACAGATTTATTTTTATTAGGTAGTCAAGATCAATGTTTACAGTCTGTTCAAATTATTGAACGAACAAAAAAAAGCTCAACACAGATAAATAATAACAAGTCAACACTTGATATTGTTGATTATTATGAAGAACAAGTCGAGATTGAAGATCAGCAGATAGAAGAAAGTAGTTTTGAAGAACCAGAGACTGATGAAGATGAAGAAGCTACAGAATTAAAGAAGAAAAAAAGTGAATTTTTATCTAATGAGAAAAAAAGAAAGGAGAAAAAATCTGTCACGAACAGTGTTTCTCCTTTGTCGGTCTTAAAAAATATCTCACAAAATGAATCATCATGTTTAAATACAGGTTAATAGAGTCATTTTCACAATAGAATAAAAAAGCTATTTTTTTCATTTCCAATGTTTATTAGAATCATCAATTGTTGTTAAACGAAAATCGCCACCAAGTGATCCATCTTCGTCTGTTTTGTCAAGCCACAAGCGTGTAAAAAATGTCGGATATATACCAATGCGAGATCATGCAAAGATAGTTGCTCAATTAGCAACAGTAACCGACGAAAATTTAGTATATCAAAGCACGTGGATGCGTGAGTGTTATTGAAATTTTTTGTTTCTCTCGGTTAATCTGAAATGTGTGATTGTCACGCAATAATTATTTTTTTTAATTTCTCGTACTGATGATTTCCATTGAATAATATTTTTCGTATAATGAGTGCGGAAAGTTTATGAAATAACATTAATGTATTCAATTATGTCATGAGAACCTATATCAACAATAAGCATTTATATTCTATTTGCAGAAATGAATAAAATACTTTTGTTTTTATCTTGTCTTAGTACTTTTTGGAATATTTCTCGAAAGATACTAGACTGTAAAATCTATAATTTACTGAAAAAAAAATCATAAAGCAATAATATTTGATACATTATTAAAAAAATATATCGATGATTTTCTTCATTCGACATATTGTGCCAATATTATTTATGTTAAAAACTAAAAATCTCAAAACAAAAATAATTAATACAATAGAAAAGAACTGGAAACCAAGAAAAACAGATGATTTTTTTTATTTCATTTATACTAATTGTTCGAACGTTCTTAATGCGGATTAATTCTTCTAGAAAGAACATCTGAATAAAATGACAAGACTAATGCACTCTTTCTCCATATATACATTATGTGGACGCAACATATTATAAACGGTCACCAAAGATTGATGGTGTTAAGAGAAGAAGGGATGCATCTTCTATTTTTTCATACGTTCATTTTGTGAAACTATCTTTTCTTTTAGTTCTTTGGACACGGGATGCATATGATATTCACATGAGATAATGAAAAATTAGTTCATGTCGTCATTCAATTCTAATTTGTTGCAGCTGACTTTGATATAGGAGACAAAAACGTTGTGTCAGTTGTATCGATTCGAAAAAAATTTTTGATTGTCCCTTTTCTCAGAGAAAAACAAAATGATATGTCGGAATCTGAATACTGAACTTCATACAAAAGTATTTCGTCTGATTATCAGAATAATAAATTCGTGTTGTGTAACTTATAACGATTGCTTTTAATCTACGTAGCTCTACTCATAGAATTATAATATTTTTATTTATTTTAAGCTAGACCAGTTGATAAATCAACGATTCAATATTTTATTCATGTTGGGAAGGTTCTAGCTAATGATCTCGGCATTTCTATGAATGATTCAAATGAAATGGTTAACAAAGAAGAAATATTGGATGTCATTTGTGCAGCCCTTGAAATGTCAGAGGCTGAATTAGCTGCTCGTATTGGACAAGGTCTTCTATCGACTGCTCGTCAAGTTATTTCTGCAAAGTATCCTGATGAAATGACAACTTTTGCGGAGGTCAAGAAAGAACACATTCAAGCCGTTGCAGGTGAGTTTTGTTCTTTGATATTTTGATAATCAGAACTTTTTCTAACATTAGATTATGCTTGGCTAATGCATCCCGCTGAGAAGAAGTTTAATAACCTGTCAAAGATTCGTAAAGCTATGGGAAATGTATTCGCCACTAGACGATTTTCAAGAAAGCTCAAGAGTGGTGGTGCGATGGTGAAAGATCCAACTACAATTGATGGTTAACATGCAACTGCATTATCATTTGACTCAAGCTGGGAGAGCCGTAGCCCAGCATGACTTTTTAAGATATGTTTTGTTTTCGTTTTTGTCAGATAAAAAAAAATAAAATATCATTTTTAATATGCATCATTAGAGAAGTTTATAATCAGTTTTAAGATATGTCATTAAGAAGAAGCAGATGGACAACGTGGCGTCAATATCGAAGACTCGATAATGCTATTCAATTAGGTTAATTGGAGTAGACTTTTCTTGCTAATCTTGAATATTTGTTTTTATGAGGCGTGAAACTGTTTGAGCCAGATATTGATACCGAAGAAATTGACATCAATATGCAAAATGTCAATATGAATGAAGATGAATCGAGCAATCTTGCTAATACCATTTATGATGAACCAGATCTGTGAGATATAATAATTGTTCATTATTTGTATATGATAGCTCTTTATTTTTTCTTTGCAGAACATCTAACACCATGGATCATAAACAAGATTTGTGTGATATACTGTTTGTTTCTTTTTTCATTTGATAGTTTTTTTACTTTGTTCAGAATATCAGATGTCATTGATGATGATATTGAGATTGATGCACATTTCAGTACACGTGTTGAAATTAATGCAACAGACATTGCGAGTTCACTTGTTCTACTGAAGAAGAAACATCGTCTGTCGACCGATTGTATTAAAGATATCTTACGTCTTTTAAAAATCCTTGGTGTAGCCAATACACCTTCCAGCTGGTATAAAGTCAAAGAACTTCTTAGTGAATCCAAGTCAGTTTCTACAGAACACTTGATCTGTCCTGGTTGTAATCAAATAACAAAAAGCAAAGAACAATGTACCAATTGTTCAATTAAACATAGTATAAAACTTCAGTCATTTCGTTCTTTTTCCATCACAGATCAGCTACAAAATATACTTATCAATAATCGAAATATTGATTTATTCTATAAAAACAAAGAAATATTCATGTGTGATATTCGTGACGGTGCCATCTATGAATCTGTTCGTGCTGATAATCCGGGCGAAATTTTGTCATTAACGATCAACATTGATGGTGTGCAACCTTCTAAAGGTTGCCAAACGACTATTTGGCCAATTCTTTTAGTTATTAATGAAATTCCTCCGAATTTACGATTTAAGTTGGAAAATGTTGTACTTGCCGCCGTTTGGCCTGGTCCTTCAAAGCCATCACGTGATGAGGTTAGGTTATTATTTCGTCCTGCCATCGATGAACTCATCCATCTTGAGAATGGTCATCCATTTCATCTTTCGGATGGCAATATACATATCTTACACGTTTATCTCATTGGCGCCTGTTGTGATAAGCCTGCGCAAGCACTTTCACAATGTATTTCAGAACCAACAGCTGCCTTTGGTTGTGGTCGTTGTGAAGTGGAGGGTAATTTTATTTCTGTAATGCATATTGAAGTCAAAATTTCGGCAAGAGATACGATGAATTTGAAACCTTGACAGTCAATTGGGTTTGAGTTATAATTTGATCACATACCTTTCTCAAAGTTAATATTTTAAGTGAAATTGGAACTTGAAAGTAATTGAGCAGTATCTTATTTTTAGAATTATGTATTTAGAGTTAGTTTTCGGGTTAATAATATTTTGATACTCGTTCGAGGATCAATAGGGTAAATGTAAAATTGCTTTGAAAACTTGACAAGTATATATTTGCAAGCACAAAAATATATGTTGCGATCAAAGTGACTATTGCTTAAGTATATTTTTGCGCGAAATAACAAATTTTATCTTTACACGGACAAATTGAAATTTAACTGAATTTCAATTTAGTCAGAAGTTTTATATTATTTCATTAGTGTTTGCAGATATATACTTATCAATTTTGTCTAAACACATTTCACATTTATTTAATTGATCTTAAAATGAATGTTGAAATATTGTTAAATCGAAGACTAACTTTGAGTATATATATCTTAAGATAAAATGCAAATCAATTGTTAAATGTTCAATTCAACTAAAATAATAATTTGCACAAATATGTGTATCGAAATGACTATTTCGGCATGTTAAAAATATTCATATATTGATTATCTGATAGGGTTTGTCGTTCCAACTGCTAAAGGTGGACACGTTCGAAGTTTTTCGACAAGTTATGATGATCTTGATGATATTTGTACCCGTTCTAATCAACGTTATGATCAACTCATCGATCTGATTCAAATGCATCAGCAGTTGAAAGCTCTTTTGCCATATAAAAAACGCTTGAAAGATGCATCTATTGATCAAAAAAATGGAAAGGGAATCGTGGGAGTTTGCTTATTTAGAGAATTGGCTTACTTTGACGTTGGTCGTTCGTTTATGGCTGACAGCTTGCATAACATTTATATTGGTGCATTTGTAAGCATATGTTTTTGTTTTTCTCTTTGTTAAAACCGAGAGAGAAACAGCAGAGACTTCGATTTTAAGACACACGATTTCTAGAAGTTTAAATTCTTATGAAGTCATCTGAAATCTTTTAAAATTCGAACTACTGTTCAAATCTGCTGTTTCCATCTCGGCTAACGGTTTTAAAATTTATGTTGTAGAAGCGAATGTTGCGTCTTTGGCTCAGTCCAGTATACCGAAATGAAAAATGGAGCATTGCTGGAGAGATCGACAAGCTTGCTCATCTGTTCAGTTCTGTTCGATTTCCTTCTACAACGACACGAATTCCACGTTCTTTAACAGAGTACCGAAAGTTTAAGGCCAACGAACTTAGAGTTCTTCTTCTGTTTGGGCACGTTATCTTTAGAAAGGTTCTTCAAAAACGATTATATAACCATCTGCTTCAACTAGTGGTAATTATGCATTTAGCAGAAGGTCGTCAAATTAATAAATCCGATCAAAAACTCATTGGTCGATTATCACGAGAATTTGTTGTTTCGTTTTCTCAACTATATACAGATCGTCATTGTGTCCAGGTGATCCACTCTGTAATTCATATTGCGGATACCGTGAATGATTTTGGTCCTTTATCGAATTACACGACTTTTCAATTTGAAAACGATCTTGGGAAGAATATATGTAGTGTTCCAAATAAATGCATTTTCATTTTTTTTATAGGCATGCTTGTTCGATCAACTAAGGGTTTCAGGAATCAAGCTCAAGAAATGTCCGGAAACTTGAATATTTTTCAACATGCAATTCGTCACTCCAACAGTTCAACAATAGATACGGATCTTGCCGCTTTTTTATCATCACAACTCATTCCTTCTCATCGTTTTCTAAATCACGAAGATCTGAGGGTTCATCACAAAT